CAGCTCTACGTCACGGTTTGCATACCCACCAAGGACGCCGATGTTTAATTGTAACCACCTGGACTCAAACCGTCTCCAGATGCCTCTGGCCCTCTGGAGGAAGATGATGACAATTTTGTCACTTTGTTTCACTCATACGTTAGAATTACATTTACAGTATATATATGTGTATATATATATTGTATATACTGTATACATTTATACACAGTTTGAGAGGTGCATAAAGTCGATTGGAGGAGGGAGGCAGAGGACTAGATGTGTACCATTCGTTTAGTTCCAAATCAAAATTGGACACATCCGAATTTCTGAATCCCAATGCATCCAAATCTGAATTTCCATCTCCGAATTTCGGATCCCGTCCGAATTTCGTTCAAAAACTAAACTGAATGGGATATGAGACTTTTCTGGCCAGTCAGATGTGTTTTTGGGTTTATTGCATCCGAATGCTTTGAACACGCATTTTCGTGACGGCAACATGGGAGCCATATACAGTAGATACATATAATACTAAAGCTGAGCTCCCAAATGCCATTCGGGTCTGGGAGCCTCAGCATTAGCAATATACAGTATGTATATGGCTCCCAGACCCGAATGTTATTTGGGATCCGAATTTCCGAATAGCATTCAGGAGCGCCCGAATGTTATTCGGGTCTGGGAGCAATATACATATATTACTAAATCTGATGCTCCTAGACCTGAATGGCATTCGGAAGCTCCTGAATGCAATTCGGAAATTCAGATACCGAATGCCATTCGGGTCTAGGAGATTCAGCCTTAGTATTAATATCTGTATGTGGTTTTCTGTGGTATTCGCAACGAATATTCATAAATCCGAAAATTTGGATTCTGTCCAAATCCAAAACTCGAACTGAATTGCATTTCAGATCTGAATCCCGAAATAACAAAATATCCGAACCAAATTTTTTCGCAGCTTACATGTCTACAGAGGACTAGGGATGACATTCAGGTTCAGGTGGGACATGGATGAACCCCACCTGTTCACTGAGGCATCAGTGTTTCGCCTGACCGCTTTCCCGACTGCAGTAATGTAGACACCGAGCACCACATTTGGTCAATGACATCACCCGGGATCCCCGATGGTGTTTTTCCATTACAACAGCAGCAGAAATCTGGCTTGGCAGGTTAACACTGGCGGCCATAGGGATGCCGTGATGGAAGAGGATTACATCGCTGGATGCCGTGATTGACATGGACTATGTCACTGGACATCGTTATTGATGCTCGGTTACATTGGGGATATTTTTTGTTGTTGTGGTATTTTTCTTACACTATAATTAAATAACTTATCCACATTTTTTTTTTACATTTAACTCTTTCTGGGAATGGGTAAGGGGTACTAATGTATCTGGGGGGGGGGCTCCTTATTTTTAAAAACTTGAATAAAGATGTCACCAGCACACAAGTTTCCATATCAGTGCAAATCCATTTTATTGATAGATTTTACTCAAATGACAAGCGCTTTCGGGGCCACGCAGGGTCCCCTTCATCAGGCACAGAGATGACAATGTCTTTGTCTTGACTTCCGTGCTAGTGGGCTGGTGACATCTTTATTCAAGTTCTGCTGTGAGCAGCGCCATCCACGGTCATTTCAAGCACCTGTAATTCTTTTGGGATATCCGGTAAGGAGTGCTGCAAGATACTGTATATGGACACCGTCCTTATTTGTCAAGTCCCCCACAAATTACCCCCACCTCTTTTTTCTGCATTGGTACATGTTCCCAATGGCAGCGCCCAGTTCTCTATGACCTTTTTTCAATAATTGTCTGTATATTAGCCTTGAAAATGGACAACAAAGGCTCATGGACATGGGGCCTGGGGCCATACAACATAAAATGAAAGGCATACAGTATTTCATCTGCCCGGGTGCAAAAGAAGCTATATACAGCTGCCTACAGAAATCAATGGTTGTATGTGGCTGTTTGCATGTATACACTAGTGTAAACATATATGTGCACAGCCCTGAATGCATACTGTCAGTGTTTAGGGTTGTACGTCCATGTACATGCAGGTGTTTACATGAGTACTGGCATATACTTATCCATAGCCACATACAGCCATTGATTTTTATTGGCAGCTGTACACAGGATCTGTGGCTCCTGAATGGGAAAGATGGCTGAATTTTACGTTGTACAGCCCTAGGCGGCCATGTGCACTAGCCCCAGGATTTGCTTTATATGGACTTCAATGGGGTTAAGAGGCTGTGAACTTCACACTGGGTTCACCAAACCTCCTATGAACTGAACCTGGGAAGATTTACCCTAACAAGGGACAAAACATCAACCCAGTTGCTGAGATGATGGCTGAAAGCTAACGTATAAATAAGAGAGTTAATATGAAATCCAGAATTTCAAGGCCTAATTGGTGTCCATTGGCCACTAGAGAGCTCCATCTGTAGAGTTTGGCTCTTGTCGTCCACTTGCCGGGCGCGCTCCTCTCTACATCTGGCCAGTTGTTGGGAAAATCCCAATAGGCTTCTATGCAGTCCTAGCCAAGTGCAGAGGAAGCACTGAAGAGTGCTGACTCCTCAACTTCACACTAGAAGGTCTCTAGATTGCTGGCACAGAGATACATAGAATACCCATCCACATCCTTCCTATATTCCCCTCCATTATGCCCATCCAGGAATATGTTCATTTTGGAGTGCTCTTTAAGTTATGAAGTTGGCATATCCCAAATAAAAGATTAGCTTCAGAGTCCCTCTTCAGTGGCCTTTGTCTATATTTGTTTCATCGGCAGACTAAGCAGATCTGGAAGTATAGAAGATTTGGGGCTTGCGGGATGTTACGGTGGATAAATGGATTAGCCTCTGTTCACTCAGTGACACACTTATAGACAGCCCGACTTATTCATCACCAGGAAGAGGAGGATGCAGATACAACAGAGCCAGAAGATGTGCTACTGTGATCTGAGGAAGGCCTGCAGATCAGGTATGGGATTTTCTATATGGTGTGCTTGTGCCCTTATGTAGTCTATACATACTATACTAGAGACACATCCCAGAATTTACCAGAATTTTCCCAACACTTAAAGGGTAAGTCCACCTAAATGTGAATATATTTATAATGTTCATTGGATGCTAGGAGGTTAAACCACCTGGCGGCGTCTTATAATTTAATTAGTGGGATCTCGGCTTTTGATTTGTTGGGTAGGGAAGAGTTGAGTTAATTTTGCCCCCAAATAATCAATTTTGCCTTTGATTTTACCATATCTATACCATAGTTATTTTAGATAAAATTTGCTAGAAAAAGAATCCTGCGCATATATGTAGCAGCACGGAGATGGGCCTTATTCCATGTTGACAGATGTGTGATGAGCTTCCAGTCATGTCATCACTATGATAGCCAATCAGAGTGATCACATTATCAGGAAGCCCATTAGATGCCTTCAGCCTGCGTTTGATGGGTTCTTGAAGAGTGTGAAAGGGTCCTATGCAAATTCCTGTTATTCTTATTTTTTTTGAGTATATTATTGTTGTTTGATTTTTTTTAAAAAGAAACATGGAAACACCTAAAAATAAATGGCAACACTCAGCACCCCGAGGTAGCAAAAAAATAAATAAATGCCGGTGTTCTATCGAAAGCTCCGACCCATCGAGTTCTAAGCCTGGAGAAAGGCACGCAGGCGCAGTGTGGGGATATAAGGCTTGAGACTGGCAGCACACGCACGGTAGCTCCTTCTGTCTAGCTCTCCAACTGGCAATCACCAGATGTGACATCACCAGGCGGAGAACTCTATGGGTCGGAGCTTTCGATAGAACACCGGGAACTATGTCAGGGAGATCTGACCACCAGTGTCTGGAAATAATTCACTCCAGAATGTCCAGCTTATAACTGAAATATCACTAATGGGAGGGCTGGCCCTTTATTGTGGTCATTAATGACTTTGTGCCTGGTACACAATGCTGGCAAAGTGTTTGAATTGTTTCAGAATGTTTTCAATTGCCTAATATACCAGATTATCCTAGTCTAAGGTTAGCATTCGCCCCATTTGCTGGGGACAGTCCGAGTTTCGAAGGATCTAGCCCCGACAAAAGAGCGTCTCCGTAAATGTCCCCGGATGCCTGGTGCACTGCAAAGACATCCAGGGTCCCTGGCGTCATGACCGCTCCTTTTTTCTTTTTGCGGCGCTGCAGTGCCATTCGCACTAGGACTAAGTCAAATATGTAAACGTGTGTTTAAACCCCAATGATCAACTTCTCTAATTTGTTCCCTCTTGGTCTGTTAAATAAACCATTGAAAGCGTTTTATTAAATCTGTTCAATAAATGCAAATAAATAAACTACTAATCCTGCCAAAAATGATAACTTCCTGTGCTGTGCTCTTATCAGTTCCATACTTCCCAGCTATCTCTGCAGACTACAAATCCCCTCCCCCCCCCTATGTTATAGAGAAGAGGGGGAGGTGTTCTGCATATATACAGTCAGCATTGCTACCTTTATTCTCACCTGGTGAACCTGCCGGTAACCTACTTCCTGTCCTAGGGTGACAACGTTCACTCAGTGCATTGTAGCTATGGAGAAGCAGTGTTATCCCCATAGGACATGAAGTGTAACACTGCTACAAAACACCCCCCACCTCTTTTCTATAACAGAGAGAGCTGGGAACAGTGATACTCATAAGAGAGCGGCACAGCAAAAGAGCATGAAAACGTATCAGTTCTCTGGATTTCTGTCAGCATCTACAAGTATTGTTTTGAATCTATCAAACGGATAACAAACCATTTTCAATGTTGTATTTAACAGACCAAAAGGGAGCAAATAAGAGAAGTTCACTGTTGAGGGTTTATATACACTTTCCTGTATGCAGGACAGAGGGACTATCTCTCTAAAATAAGGTCAACCGGTATCTAGGATAATGAATTATTTTATCGTTTACATTATCTATTAGAACTGTAATCATCAAACAGAGCAGATGTAGTAAATGTAAAATGATCACATAAACACAGAATTTTATAGGTAGCCAAAAAATTTGATCTCTTACCTTAATCTCATAATCTTGCAACAGTACAGTTATTCCCTGAAAAAAACAAAAAAACTTATGAGGATTGATCATTTGGTGGCATATACATATATACATATTTTCATTTCTGTATACAGAATTTTAGAAGGAGAGGTCAGCAGTGGCAAGTCTCGTTCATGGTGGCAGATTTGCTTTAATGGCTTTGTTCATCTTTCCAAACATGTTTCATGATACAATATTCCTTGCACTGATTGTGTTGTAGATCCCCATAGACATCTACTGTATGCACCACTTTTCCAGTGTCTTGGGTATCAGTAGACGCCCCCTATGGAAGTCTATGAGGATTATTTGTGCAGGTTCAGCCAGCTCAGAAAAGGTAAGACTTTCCATTATGGATGTAAGCATTGCGAAATGCCATGGCTGGGGTACGTATACATCTGTGGAGGGTGCGGTACTTGTGGTCAGGGGGGGAAGAATGGCCAAAGCCCAATATCACTATGATGTTCATGTATGAAAGTTCCGCTTGGGCAGATGCTGTTTGCATGGTGCTAGCACCCCTAAATGGCGCTGATGAGTAGAGGAAATTCCTATCTTGGGGCATTGTTTGTTCACACCTAGGCGTATTGCATATGCGCGTCTGTCGCGCATTTTTTTACCGCGACAAACGCGCGTTTCCGAAGGCTACTTGGCTGTATCCCAATGGAAACGCGCAACAAAACGGCCCAAAGTAGTACATGTACCTTTTCAGGCGTGGGCCGTTAGGGACGGGCGGAAATACGCCAAGGTGGGAACTAGACCATTAAATACAATGGGATTTATATTTTTTAGCGTTTTGTAGAGCGTTCGTCAAGCGTAGAACGCGCTACAAAACGTTCAGGTGTGAACGAGGGCTTAGTGCCATGCAAACAGCACCCATCTGGATATTTGCCAAGTGGAACTTTTATAAATGCACCCCATAGCCATAGTGGCAGTTGAAAAAGTGGTCTATTAGGTCTGTCCCACTTTTTTTTTTAAAGCATGTTGTTATTATTATGATGATTATTATTAATATTGTTGTTATTATTGTTATCATTATTATTTTTTCTTTGAAAAGGCACAATTTCCGGGGACAAGGTTCCTAAACGTGGCCTGCCCGGGCAAGTCAGAGAGAGCTATGCGATCTATCCATTGCTCATTGTCTGATCTCATGTTTTCCTGCGCTCATATTTCATGTTTATTTTATCACTGTTTCCCTTGAACGATGATGCGAATGAAGCCAGGCTGTAGGAGGCCACGAGGCTGAAGGAAATTCCTGAAAAATTGCTCACATCCAAACCGTTTGGCAAACACACCCAGAGAATGGAGGGTCAGTGTCAGCTTTTTAATTCTGATACTGATTTTCTAAAGTGGACCTGTCCGTAGTTAGCCCATTGGGGCTCAGCTACACAGGCCATTTTAATTCCTTGCATCTGAAAGGTTTAACCATTTGCTGGCTGCCACCTTACCAGGCTAGAGGTACACAGGAGATTTCTATCAACATATAGAATAAAGCTGACCTCCAAACAAACAGCTAAATAGAAAGATAAAAAAAGATATAGCAGAGCAGAGCCAGGCAGATAATACTAATTTCTTCACGATGGCTGCAGACTGTAGATATCTGCTGATTGGACAGTAAAAGAGCAGCAGCAGACTGATAAAGTAATCACTCTGACTCATTGAATCTCTGCAATCATGCACATTTTGCCATGTTTGTTTTCTTTAAAAAGGCTGCAAGTGCAGAAAATTATCTGTTGGTCTGTCAGAAATCCAGTGAGCTCCCCTAACTATTTGGGCTGACAGCACAATGCTTCTGCTGCAATGAAATCCCAAACAATGTTGTTAGCCCTCCCTGCTGGACTGCAGAACTCTGCCTGTACCCGTCCCTTTCTGTCCTTCTCCATATTCACACACACACACATATATTTCTTCCCCAGCAAAACATTGCTACTGACTTGATTCCCAAAAGCCAGCCCACACACTGTGTGTGTCTCGGTAGATGTAGCTCTGGGGGTGTGCATGCATCAGAAAGGACTAGCGTCCCAGCAGATGCCCCTGCAAGGATTTTATAAGCCTGGGGACGATGTCATAAAGTCATAGATGATGTCATAGAGTGTGATAAAAGCTGTGTCTTACTAAGAGAACACGTTAAAAGACACACACATATATATATATTACACACTGGAACATGATCTAGAGGGGAGGTAGGTGAGTACATTTCCATAATTCCTGGATACACACATTGGGGGTAATTTATAAAAGTTGGCATGGCACTAGTGCCCCTAGATGGCAATTACGAGTGTGGGAAATTACTTCTAGGGGGCGCTAGTGCGGTTCAAATGGCATCTGTCCAGTATATAGCCCGGCGTATGTCCAACTGTCATAAATTAAGCTCTTTAAGTGTAGCAAGAAGTACTATTTCTAGTCAATCTTTTTCCTCAAAAAGACTAATCATTTACCTCCTAGGGACTGTTTTATAAATAGGAATTCCTACGTTCCTCAGCTCAATGTAGTGGTGATGCCATGCGAACAGCATTGATAAAGACTGTAAGTGCTTGGGCAAAAATGTAAAAAAATACTTTGCTCCGCAGTCAGGGGCAGATTTACTCTCTCTGCTGCCCCAAGGCCAGGTGCCTCAATGCCCCCCCCTTCACATCAAATGCCCCCCCCCCCATGGATAATGGCAACCAGATGGCGGGGGCAGCAGGGTCAGTTATAATTTTTCTTTATTTTTTCTTTATTTTTAAAACTTTTTAATCACCTTTTTATTTTTTTTTATTTTAACTATTATTTCCTATTATTTTTTTACTTATTTGTTTCATTTGTATTTATTTAATAATTTTTTTATTGATTTTTTTTTCACTCAACTTTACTGCTATCACACTGAAGCTTAAAATGACGGTATTTGCTTAAGAAAACTGTATAGAGTGAGCCATGGTACCAAACATGACAAATTGATTTCGGGTTTACACTTACATTTCGCCTTGCCTAAAAACTCCGATGTATTTCACCAAAATGGCAAAATATGGCCGAAATCTCCCAACTTTTATTGTAATTTCAGGGAAATAAAATCCCTAATTAGAACCAAGGAGCTCAACTTGAAATTTTGATAGGCACATAAATGCCTATTTAAACCAAATGTATACATTACAGGTGAGGTCCTTGGTCTTAGTTTCTGCTACTTGTATACAGAGGGGGTTGTTCCATCCATTTTGGGATCAGTTGCTATCAACCACTATTCCTATCCAAGTGATTCTTCATATACAACAATGGTTGATGTATTAAAGGCTCATTCACATGGACTGTAAGGTCCATATACCGTGAAAAACATCTGGATCCCAGAGCTCAGTGGCCAAAGGTGTTGGGTGATTCGGACATTTTATGCAATACACCGACCTCTGTGCAAGAGTGAATTAGCCCTAAAAGAGTAGAGGGTGATCACTTTGCCTAGTGAATTTTCATTTAGCTTAGTGAATGAGGTAAAGCCAAGCGGAAATTCACTTTTCCTTGAACATGACGGAATTCTTTGCAAAGTGAAAATTCACATGACAAAGTCAACATGCTCTACACCAGGGGTGGGCAAACTCCAGTCCTCCAGTGGCGTCACTAGGGGGGTGTTGAAAAGCCGGGCACTTGGTCATGGACCGAAAGGCTGACAGTTGCTCAAGAGAGGAGGGGACCCGGCGGGATAAGGTATGCCCCTCCTCTCTCTGCCGGCATCCATCACCAAGGTAACAGCATGATGATGTCACGTGCAATGGCGTCACGGCAGGGTGTCACCCGGTACCAGCTCCGGGTGACACCCTTATAATTATCTATCATTATTATTATTATTATTATTATCATACAGGCTTTCTATAGTGCCAACAGTTTGTGCAGTGCTCTACAATATAAAGGGAGACTGTACAGTTACTATATATTTCAAGGCTAGGAGCGAGTTTACTATCTATCTATCTATCTATCTATCTATCTATCTATCTATCTATCTATCTATCTATCTTGCAGAACCGGGTTCATTCTTTTTAATTAAGATAATATAGCAGCTGAAACAAAAAATCTATTTTGATGCAAACTTGCTCCTAATATTCCACTTACAAACAATCCAAGGAGTATGTAGTTTAGTGGCACTTTGCGACGGGCTTTGTCACAGCAGGCGAAGACTATGACCAGGATAAGGGTGGAGGGTCTGCAATATAATAGAGAATGGATTGATCATCAGCACTATCATATTTAGGATACAGGTTCTATTTGGTTTGAACGACACTTGATAAACAATCTCAGCTTTGCACAATGGCGTCACTGAGGGTTGTCACCCGGTACCAGCTCCGGGTGACACCCTGCCTTGGGACGCCCCTGCCTCGGGACGCCCCTGCCTCCAGCTGTGGTGCAACTATAAATCCCATGAGGCATTACAAGGCTCTGACAGCCACAGACAGGACTCCCAGAGACAGATGCATTATGGGATTTGTAGTTAAGGCACAGCTGGAAGGCCGGAGTTTGCCCACCCCTCCTCTAATCCTTTAGCCAATCAGCTCCAAAGAGTACTTATCAAGAAACACCAATACTCAGCTGTTTAAAGAGATCGTATCTCCAGCTCTAACAGGTTCTCTTAAAAGAAAAATTAAAATGAAATACCTCTTCTGTCAAGAGCGGCTTCCCCTCGACCAGGTTGAACTCTTGTCCGGACATTTTATTAACCTGCATTAAAAAAAAAAGTAAATATAAGATAAAAGGGTATCTAAGGTCAAAAGATAAATAAAAAATAGATTTCTATCCCTCTCTTAATAACCAGATCCATCTAGAAGGTTGTAAACTTACTTATTGAAGATGCTCATAGGATGGACTTGCTCAATGCACTGACACAATATCGCTGTGAAAGACAGTCTCCTTCTGAACTACAACTCAACGTCTAAACAATGTAACATTATCATTGCTATGTAGTCTCCAGAAATGGAGATTGCGTCACATGCAAGCAGCAGGGAAAGAGACGCAAAGCACACAGGGAATCCAGGAAGTCGTTGGAAGTGATGGGAAGACGGAAGGCAACACTCACTACATAAAAGGGATTTTTTAAAGTAAGCTTTGATTGTATTATCAGAAACAACTCTCCTATGTATTCCTATTACAATGCCGATGTTATAACAGTAGAGGATGTGCTGGGACTTTACAACTTCATTAAAGGAGAACTATGAGGTGACTGCTTTTCACTCACCTCATAGTTCTAGCCGACCTGTGACAATTAAACTGTCACAGGTCGGCTCAGTAGATCGGGAAGTAAGCGAACACATACCGGCGTTCGCTCACTTCTCGATCCTGTCACTGCTCTCTGCCGTGACAGGGGAGTGGCTGGATTCCCCCCTCGCCGCTCCAATCCTCCAGCGCTGACTGGCGGAACGGATGGGGGAGGGGGCGGGTACAGCTGGCTCTTCCTTTAGATAGGCAGAGCCAGCTGTCACTCACGCAGCTGGGCGGATCCAGACATAATTGTCGGGATCCGCTTCAGCTGCGGCGTCTCAGTATACGGCGAGCTGTAGCTTGCCGTATACTGAGCTTAGGGTGACGGGAGGATGCTAGTTTGTGTCTCTCTCGTTACCCTAAGGAGAACTATGGGGGAAAAGCCCTAACCCCATAGTTATCCTTTAAAGTAAAACACATGGAGCATGAATACCTATAGACAGGACATTAATGAAGACTCACAATTTAAAATGTATTGTAATCTAATTCAATACAAATACAACACAAGGACAAAGAAACAGAAACACATATGAAAGAGTAGGTTATTTAAAAGCAACTGAATCCCTATTCAAAATACTACATGACTAAGGTAGGTAGCATAGATGTCCCCATTCTTTCCCCATTCATTCCCCTAATACAATCCACCAAGACCATCCACCATCCGTCCCTGTAAGGAGAAAACAGACCAGACTCCAAAATGGCATAAAATGGCCTTAGCAGCCTTTTATTAAATAATTTGATATAAAATATAACTATATATAAACAATTTCAACATCCATCAGAATTACATAAACAAAATTGCAGGTCTTTGAAGGCCACACCTTTTCTTGATCCGTTCCCTGCGGCAATACTACCAAATGTTAGGCCCCCAGCCGCAACACACTGCCTCTGGGACAACCACCAACTGACCACATACACTCAAAATATCCAATAGTGTTCACCATCTTACACCATGAATAGAGGACCCATACCAAGACAGGTCCCCAAACCTTAACCACCAGCACCTTTTATTTGATGGCCTCCAATGACCCCAACCGCATAACTACCCAGAGCCTAACCACAAAAATGGGTGGGGGGGAGGGAAGTTCACTCCTCGTCAGACAATCTCCAACTGCTGAAGAGAGGACCCTCCTACCACAGCTCCACCTAACCTTTTGACCTGTCTAATCAGGTAAGTGACCTTGTTCAAAGACCGAACCCTCGTTAACCCCTTTGTAGCTCGTCTCCCCTATACACCCAGTCATGTATGCCCTCCGCTTATTTTATTTTTTTCCGCTTCGAGCCTTCCTAACATGGGTGATCCAAGTTTGATTGATTGGCGAGTAGGAACATGTCCTCTGTAGATGTGTCAATTCACGCAACAATAACGTGGGGCAACTAACAGAGTTCTGAAAAGGTCTCGTGGCCAGTCAAATTGTTATTTGGTTGTGCAAAAGAAATTCGGACGGTACACCCAACGCCGGTAGAGGGAGTGAGCTAAAGTAAAGTCCTCTAGGGTGTTTATTTACTGTCCAGCAAGTTGGTAGGACATTTTGGTATTCTAAGATTTTCTGCTTGCAACGAATCACTTCCTTCCCTGTGGTCTCAGGTCGCCTTTTCTAGAAGCTACTGAAATCCGCCATTCAGTCTAAGTGTTTTATCTGACATTGTAAATCTCCCGCTGGATCATTACCAAGAGTTTGTTATTCATCAATCTCGTTTTTAGTCCAGATCTTAATCATGAACGTGACATTTATAGAAAGTTCAGCCAACCCGAAAGGACATCTGATTAATCCCAATGCACAAAATGGATTGATCAGGTCATTTGCTTGTAATAGGTTTTTGGAGAAATGTATCCAATCGCTAATTTGTCTTTATAACGGATTGGAGTTTGGATACAGCAAAGTAAAAAATCTTGCATTTAAGATGTGCCAGCTGTTTCCAAATCTCAGGCCGGTTCCCATGGTGTCACAAGGGTTACCGCTGGCAATACAGGAGGTTTAACCCGAATCATGCTAAAGGGAATTTTGGAATTAAAATAGTATAAAGGGCAAGGTAATATTATTTAATGGTCTGCACTGGGTCTGCCATGGGATTCATATTTCTGTCCCACAATGCAGAATGTTACATAGTTACATAGTTACATAGTATTTGAGGTTGAATAAAGACACATGTCCATCAAGTCCAACCTATTGTGTGTGTGTGTGTGTGTGTGTGTGTATATAGGTCCCTAAGATGTTACACCTCTTTTGAAGCTTCTGCAGCACTGGTGCATTTGTTTATAACACACACAGATTTGTTACCAATAAACTGAACATGAATATGTCTTCACTTCTAATTGGTCCTTGGCATTGATATACACTGAGTGGCCAGATTATTATGACCACCTGACGTTTGTAGGCTAATTAGCTATAATTTGGCGCTGAAGTTGCTAGAGGGCCAGACCATTATAAATAGGGAAGCAGGTTGTTTACCACGACAGTAGACGTGATTGGTTTCTGAAGATACGGGTAAACAACACGATTTAACAGCCTTTGAACGTGGGATGATTGTTGGCGCTCGGAGTCATGGAGCGAGTATCAGCAAAACAGCAGAATTTGTTAAATGTTCAAGAGCAGCTGTTGTTAAAGTGTTTAAAGACTGGACTGTCAGCCGAAAATCTGGGTATGAACGTGCGAATTGTGGCCGTCAGCGACTAGTCAATGTTACTGCAGAATGGAGAGTTACAAGACAACAGAAGGGCAACAGTGCAGTGTCAGATTCCTCGCATCACCTTTCAACATCTCGTGGAGTCACGAGGCGGCCCAACGAAGTACTGATGGGGTGGTCATAATAATCTGGCCACTCAGTGTAGAAATGAAGGTGCTTTGATGCATCAATACTCCTATTTAAAAGGTGAAAATTAAAAGTATTTTCCTTAACTCTTGATGCATGCTAAGTACAGTTGTTTACTCCAACATGACCGACCCCTGGACATGATCATAATACAATTCTATTACACTCTATACATAGAACACTACAACCTCCAACATGGCCGACCTACAGACATGATCATAATACTATTCTATTACACTCTATACATAGAACACTACAACCCCCAACATGACCCACCACTGGAAATGATCCCGATACTACTCTATTACACTCTTTGTATAGAACAAACACTACACCCCCAACGTTACCAACCACTGGACATTATCATAACACAATCCAATTACATTCTCGACATAGAACACTACACCCCCAACATGACCAAACACAGGACATGATCATAATACAATTCTATTACACTCTACACATAGAACACTACACCCCCAACGTGAGCGAATATTGGACTATTGGGGCGCATTGAGGAACCTGGCCTTGGGGCAGCAGAGATTTAATCCGGCCCTGTATATAATGCCCACCATGTGTCACTGAATGCACATCCTGCTCTGATCGATGTCTGTACAAATGTAAAAATCCAAAAACCACCAACAAATGCAAATGTTGCTTTCATAGCAGCAAGGCGACTGTGTACAGAGTGCCCCCACAAATGTCTTACGCGTGCATTTGGCTCACTGCTCTTGCCATAAGTGTGCACAGTGCTTGCAGTCAAATTATAAGCATCCCCTGTAATAGGAGTTTAGTCTGGTGAGATGCATTCTTGGACTCTGGGTGGAATGAATAGATATAGAGGCTCCTGCTTTTCTTAATACAGCACTGAAATGAACAAGTGACAATAAAAGTGCTGGTAATGTCTGCAGCCATATCTTGAGAACAGAAGCAGATAAGAATCAGCAATAAACAATGACAAAATCCTTGAAAACTTTATAGTCCAGCGGCAGAGAATTGCGTTTATTCTCAACAAAACTCCACTTTACTTTATTTATTGGTGCTTTACCCTCATTACAAAGGTACTGACAGTTTCATTTCAGGCAATTCTGCAACTTTAACAAACACTGAATCCTTATAAACCATTTTACTCAAGATGACACACCTTCAAGATGTTTAACTGCGCCATCAGTGAATTCCTAACCTTCGACCTGTAATAAGTAACCAATCATGTGACCAAACTAGTAAAAGTAGAAGGTAAGGAGAGTTGAAGCAAGTGGAAGAAAACAGATTTCTGTTAATAATTACATTCCTATTTAGGTAAACACACACACACACACACACACACACACACACACTACAGTACAGATTGTTTTTAAAAATAGATACAAAAAGTCCACAATGTAACTAACTGCAAACTGAATTACTGCTGTGCTTTTTTATTTGGCAACCCCACGTATGTTTTTTATTTTTAAAATTGATTATTAAAGTGACATTAAAGGATCATTTTTTTTCCCTCCCCCAATGTTAATGTCAGCACTTACCTTAAATGATGTCTCTTAATCCGATCTTCTTCTTTCCTGATGTTTTCATCTGTCCCCCCAGCGGTGCGGCGGCTCTCCGATCCAGCGCTGGCTCCTCTCTGCTTGCAGGCACTTCCGATCCCGCGG